ATATAGTCGTCATATATATTCGTCCTATGAAAACCTGTAAATAAAAGACATCATCCAATGTGTGTGGATTCACGCAGTTCTATATATTTTAAACAAACCAATGCATCCTCAATCTCCGGTTTGTAAATTTCGTCAGATCCTTAGCTATTGGTTAGAAAGTTTTGTCAAAACATGGCTTTTATTTTACACAAAATTTTAGATATTCTTTTGAACAAAAAAAAAGTTTGTAACTATTTTTTTGTTTATACGAATAAGAATCATTCGATATTGATATAAAGATATCTATTAAATGGATCTAAAACATACATTTCATCCTATTATTTTCAATCAATCGTTCGCAGATCATCAATCCTTTTTCATATAGAAAAACCTACACTTACTCGCTTTTGGAGATAAGAAGTTCTAATAAACTCACACTGACTACAACCCCAAGGCCTTTAACCATCGCCGGACACTACTACGCCTACAAGGATGCCACTCGGAAGCACCCGCTTTCGACATGGCAGATCTAGTTTGCGGCTCAGTCAATGATCACTTTTCAAGCACAGTAGACAAAGAGAGTGTCGCATTCTGTTACCGACATTTTTCTGACACACAATTGAAGGAACACTGAGAACTTTTGGGCTACTTTCCAACGTCGGTGTACTAAAAATTTTTACCCACCAGCCATTAAACTTATAGTAAAGGTAACAAACAAGTACACAGTCCACCTGATGGTAACTTGATGCTGAGGCCCATAGACACCTACATTTACCGTCGATTAAAATTAAAAATGCAGATGCGTTGTCACTCCTGACGACTAAGATAGAATGCCTCGTTTCCAGTAAAAATGTTTCCGACTTTCTGCACTCCCTATACGAAACACAGCAGCATAAAGGTGCTATTTTACGCTGGTATTCTGTGAAAGCGTGCTCCTACCCTGGTCGAGCCAATTTATTCGTGCTACAACCATAATGACATAGCTGCATCATGGCTCTACCACGTACAAAGAATTTTTCACAGTTGTTACTTGGCAAGTATGTTGCAAACCGCAGTATTTTTATTCAACCGTTATCGGAACATGCTGTTGCACATCTTATGGTTCAGTTTCCCGATATCGCCTCTAACGAAAGCCACGACATGATACGGCATGATGTTCTTACACCGCCGCTACACGGTTAACCGCAAGCAGTAAGACATCGTTTGAACATTAGCTTTGGATGCAGTACCGCTAACACTAACAATACAGGACAGCTGCTTTTTTTATTTACGTAACGTATCCTATTACTTCATACCAAAAAACTTAATATATTTATTTATATATCTTAACATGTTCCACATTATGTTTAATAAATGTATTTCTGGGCTCATATATGTATAAATGTGACTGTATAAAAGAGCCCACCTTACCTGAAGGACAATACACAACCCCCCCCCCCCCGGATTAGTCTTATATATCCCGATGTGTGTTTATAATGTGTATGTATTGTCTTATTTATTAAAATTTTAGTCAAGTGTAATATTTTTTTTCCAAAATTTTGCATTTTGCACCATACTCATATTTTTTGATGAACTTAAAAATAGACTGGCAGAGAAATGCACTGCGGTATTAAGTTTGCCTTTTTGTATAAGTTTGTACATGCTTACAAAGCTTTAATAAATAATATACAAGATGTTTGTATTATCATTTATCGAAAACCACAGAAACTACTTGAATTTAACATAAGTTCACTACGGAACTTGATCTTAGATAGGATAATATATTGTCTAAAGCTACAATCACAATCAATCAATTTAAAAATTATACGTACAATTAGAATTACTTTGTGTGATAGGTCACGCTGCATTTTACGAGATATAGGCACGCTGCAGCTGCATAATGGTTTCAGCAAGATGGCGTCGGCTCCACCGAGAGAGGACCACGCTAACACAGAATAACAGAGTAAAATACAAGCAATACAATACAAATATACAATGCTTCTGTTTTTCGAATGGTGTGTGACGAAACACAGAGACACTGTATACTGGTCAACAGGCTATTCCATTCCGTTAGTCCTCAGGGTTAACAACAATAAAAATATAAGACGGAATGAATTAAATAACTCGGACTCATAAAATGATGTCTATGTCAATAATCTCCTACAGAAAAATTTCAAATTACTTTTACAAATTTTCCTTCTAATCAGTGTTTTTGTATAATCATGGTTAACTCTCAATTATATAATTGAGAAAATATAATATTCAATTCTATCATCATTATCATAATAACTCCAGGTGGTAGAATTCCTTCTCTCGGAGTCCATCTGGGTGGGTCCATCACGACAATCCCACGTAGTATAACAAAGTCTACACAAATGGTATAACAAAGCGCTACATTAGCCGTTTAGCAGGTATATGGCATTACCTTCCTAAGTACTTGTAAGTGCAGGGGATAGAGAACTTGTTAATCCCTTCTGTACCACAGAAAAGGGCCACTTTATACGGGATTCAGTGCTACAGTAGAGTTACCTGCAGGAGGCTGCATATCGAAAATCTTCCATCCCCATTTCAAATGTTTGGTTTAATGATTACATAAAAGATTTTACGTGATAGAGCCGCGCTGCAGCTACTATTATGTGTGTAACACGAATGGTTCGGCTTGAACTGGGCTCTTACAGAACATAAAACACTATTTTACACTGGTATTCTGTAAGAGCCTAGTTCAACAAAAACAACAACCATACCAGTGTAAAATAGCTGTTTAATGCTGCTGTGTAAATGGTGAGTATAGAGAACCGGGGACCCTTTTTAACGGAAACGAGACAGACTGCTTTCGCAATGAATATTAGTACTCACGGGTGACAATGCATTTGGATTTTGATTCTTAATCGAGGTTAAATGTGGATGTCTGTAGGCCACAGCATCCACTTACCATCAGATTGACTGTGTGCTATATTGTTTAGTACAGTAGTACAAAGGAGATAGCCAAAAATTGCATGAACATGTGCCCCAGACAGTACAGAGATGAAATCTATGTCATTTGAAAGTACAGATCTTCTATTTAAAGAATTAGAAAACTGCATATAGCTATGCAGTGATGGATAAAAGTTAGGAAGATTTTGAAAAGATTTTGTCAGTCGGTTTTATCATGATTACACAATGAACATATTAATAAAGTTTCAATTTCATGAGTGTTATATAGGTTAATATATATGCATTTGTCCTAGATGTTTAGGATGTATCCTAACTGGTTTAGCTAAAAAAAAGGAAAAAGTTTTTTTCAGTCTTTGAAATTATTTTTATCATTTGTAACTATTTTTGTAAAGAACATAATTAAGTAATGCTATTATTGATTGAAGTATATAAGAAAGATAATAAAAACAACTTGCATTATTTTGTGCATTTGGCATCTCGCCCATCCCAAGTACTACAGTATAGTCATTACTCATTACATGTGCACAACATCCAACAGTCCGGTTTCCAGCTAAACAATTACACCAATAACCTAAGATTGCATTTCTCGGTTGGTTTTGATTTGAAGGTGCCTCATATAAAATAGAAGTATAATTCTCATACCTAGAAGTATATCATGATTTGATGTGACCTCTTAATAAGACATCGCTAGAAATTAAATAATGCATTATTTCTGCATCTGTTTGAGTAGCAGCAAAAGGTCCAAACACATCTATAATATATCCATCACAACAGACTACTAAAAAGGTTTTGTTAAGTTATAATATTTATGAAGACTGTGTCTTTTTTTGGTATTTACAATTCGAATGCACATGGAGGTAGGTACTATCACATTGTACAATAGCCCACCTGTTAGAGGAATTAGGTTGAGGATTTCCATATAACTTCTCAGCTATTGTGGTGTTTTTTTCTGCCACATCTTGGTGAAATATGTGGGACGCTCCAAGATGTAGTGGAACATAGTGATTATTCAGACAGTTTCTCACAAGCTTCATCTTCTTCTGTTGAGTTGATTTAGAAATCCCAAAAAGATTAGATATCCTAGTATCGCGATCACCAGTCCTATACTTAATTAAAAGCATTGCTAATGCGGTTTTTGATTTTTTGGGAACAACAGACTGTATTGGTATGCTATTATGCAATTCTATGAATTTCTGTGTAGTGCACCCTGTCCAATAGTGACATAAACAACTAGGAATTGATTCCATGTTTTCAAAATCAATAACATTGTCCACACTTTTATTATCTAACAAGCTTTCAATTATATGTGTTGTGAAAGTATAAGTTAAACTTGTGTTCTCTAATAATAATTCCCATTCATTGGTATGTAAATGTTCTTCATATACCCTGGCACTTCGAGGCACATAAAATATACTATCCAAGTACAATGCTGATTTAATCAAGGTAGGCACTAAATAACCTGCACTGCACTGACAGCCATCAAATACGCATCTTCTAGATGTATTATCCTGGTTCAGGGGGCAAGTGGGGGACCTGAATTTATTGAACAGCTTGGTTTCCTTCTGTGTTTTAGAATCTGTTAGAATCAACAATATTTCTTTGGGCTATTTCTCTGTTAGCTCTCACATACACAACCTTGACACAAAATGTTGGCCGCTATAACCTGAATAAATATAAAACTTTACCACACAGTTCACTTTAATTTATGGGACAAGCTATTGAAAACACAAAATAAAGATGAATGTTATGGTATATGCATTTTGGAGAGCTTTAATACAGATTGATTACCTTGAAAAGTTAGTTTTAGTTAACAGTACAGCACCATTATAAATATTCGAGTTTAGAGATTGACATTACCACATATAGATCACAGTGATTGTCTAACTATTGTGTCTTATTTATGTAGTATGTTGTGGGTATATTGATATTTTGTGTGGATACTGTAACTTCATAATTAATAAGAAATCAGTGTTGAACCAGCTAGCGTTTATTTTATTACATGGTGGCAGCGGTCTTGAAAATAAATTGCATATTCAATGTAAAAGTAACGTTGTCGATAAGGGAACTTATTTTTGACGTAAATTGTTTATTTTGTGTAAAAGTAAGTGATGGAACACGCGCGACCTCCCGTAGGATTAGTGCTCGAAGGCGGCACCGCTGCTCGAGCAGACTCATGGCGCAAGTGGCGGAAACAATTTGAGATGTTTCTTAAAGCCTCGGGAGTGGCTAACGAGAAAAGTTCAGTGCAAGCTAGTTTACTGGTCAACCTCATTGGATCGCTGGGTTACGAAATTTATTCGACCTTCACGTATATGAAGGACGAAAGTGAAGACGATATTAAGTGTTTGTTGAAAAAGTTTGATAACTATTTTGGGACAAAACGTAATGTCACGTTATCCCGGTTTAAGATTTTTACGCAAGGCCAATAGGAAGGCGAAAATATAGATCAATATGTTACTGCACTAAAATTGCTAAGTCAATCTTTTGAGTTTGGTAATCTAAATGAAAGCTTAATACGGGACAGGATTGTCTGTGGTATCATAAGTAACATTGTACGTGATCGGCTACTTCGTACGGATGATTTAACATTAGAAAAGGCGGTCCAGATATCTGAAGTGGCAGAAATATCGAAGGGGGAAAGTTCATGCATCGAAAATGGTCCTGGCGGTAGTGAAATGCGAGTTCATGCTGTAAGGGATGCAAGCGGTCGCAGCTACGGTGGTGTAAGACGCAGCCGTGAAGTAAGGTCGTGCGGAGCGAGGCGCAGCGCTCGTGGCCGCGAACCGGGGTTCGGTGCCGGGTTGGCGACTTCGCGTACATGCTGCTTGTCATGTGGCAATGGTTAGTGCTCCACTGACGACCGGTGTCCGGCGCGGGATGCAATGTGTTATGTGTGTGATAAAATGTGCATTTTGCTAGTGTGTGTGCATAAATATACATTACGCGATAAGGTTTTAAACTTGAATGTGTGTGAGCCTGAACCTGAAAACATGTCCGATGCCGAAATGTTCTATGTGGACATGATATTAAGCCAGAATAAAAAATGTAAGTTATCTAAAGAATGGAATATTATTTTTCAATATAATGGTAGACAAGTGCAATTTAAACTAGATACATCTATGTTAAATTTAATTTCGAAAAATGATTATTTAAACTTATGGATGTCGATTCATAACCTAAAATATTTTAACAAATGTGTACAATCTTTTACTGGTAATAATTTACCTATTATGGGCATATACGAATTACCATTTATTTATAAAGGTAAACATTACATTTCACCATTTGTGGTAGCAGATTTAAACTGTCAAAATGTTCTGGGATTGGAAGGCTGTGTCATATTAGGACTCGTATCCCGTGTTGACAGTATAAAAATACATAAATATTCTGATCTCTTCGAAGGACTGGGTAAGTTACCTGGACAGTATTCGATTGTTGTAGATAAAAATGTACAGCCAGTGATTTGCCCTACTAGGAATATACCACTGGGGATGAAAGACAAACTCTTAGCAGAGTTACGTAGGGTGGAAAAATTTGGTGTTATCAGGAAAGTCACTCATTCTACGGAATGGGTTAACGCTATTGTGCTAGTAGCAAAAAAGAATGGTGATATTCGTATGTGTTTGGACCCGAGACCGCTTAACCGCGCGGTGCGGCGCGCGCATTACTCGCTGCCCACGGTGAGCGAGCGCGGTGCTACGTACTTCAGCGTGCTATATGCGCGTTCTGGTTTTTGGATGGTTCAAATTGATCCTGCCAGCGCAGATCTTTGTACATTTGGAACATCGTTTGGTCGATACCAGTTTCTAAGGCTACCGTATGGAGTAAATTGTGCTCCAGAAGTATTTCATGCAAAGTTAATACAATATTTGGAAGATTTAAAGGGTGTTGACTCTTTTATTGATGATGTAATAGTATGGGGGAATACTAAAGAACAACATCACTTCAGGTTAAAATGTTTACTGAGTAGAGCTAGAGAAATTGGTATAAAATTTAATAAGGAGAAATGTAAGTTTGGATTTCGAGAAATTGTTTATTTGGGTCACAAATTCGAAATAATAATAATAATAATAATAATGATGATGGATAAAAAGATAGTGCACAAAGGGCCGCTGCCTGGGGGTCGCCGGGGCGCGTCTGGAGCTGGCGCTGGACGCGGCAGCATGCGGGCCGCCAGCCGAGCGCGAGGAGCTGCACGGTCACCTACCAGCCCTCCGCATCCATCATCCCCACCAGAAGGCTTGGTGGTCGGCTGGGTCTTCTCGGACTCCGCAAGCGGCACCCGCCGCTGGTGGAGCACGTCGCATGCGTTGGTCACAAGAAATGAATGCAAACGCACTGCGGGCGTACTTTAGGGCAAAAGGGGAAGAAACTGGATGTTTGGCGTATCGGGCTAGGATGCATCGTCTTTTTGCTGAGCTGGAGCCATCTTTAATCGTCACAGAGCAAAACCTGGCAGACCGAGTTCGGTATATCTTGCGCTCAAATATTTTTGATGTCGCCGAACTCGAACGGCTACGACGTGAGGCTGTTCCCTCGTCGGATGAGAATGCTACGGCTGAGGATGCGGCGCCACAAATGGTAGAGCAACCCGCAAACGTGGATGCCGCCGTGAATACCCCAGTTGTGGTTGATTCAAACGATGATGGAACAGTCGCCCAGGAACTGGAATTAGAGCATATGAGGAGTATATTGGAAGAGGCGATTGTGGAAACGCGCAGTACGCCTCTCGAAAATCGACCGCGACTTCCCCGCATAGCCCTAAGCAAGCGGAATCGGGCTATCGTGAGGGCTCTGAACCCAATGCTGGTTACATATTTGGAAGCCAGCCGGGACCTTTGCGAGACGGACTCTATTCTTTTTGGCGCCGCGCTGACAGTCTGCCGTATCATAGGCGCGAAGGTTTCCACGGCTGGACGCGCTACTGGCCATAGTAGCGCTATCCCAGCATGGAGAAGAAGAATTGAGGAACGTATCGCAAAGGCTAGAGCTCTCATCGGCAGACTGATATGCTTCAGATCAGGCAACAACAGGCCAAGAATTGTGCGCACCGTCAGGATGGCGTTTGCTGGGACAAATGTCAGTTTGTCCCAGCCGGATATAACGCAAAAACTGACGGAGCGCATAGATGATCTGAAGCAGAGAATCGCTGCTTGGGGAAAGCGGATTCGGCGATATACCGAGAGGTCGACACGGTTCAACCAGAATCGTCTCTTCCAGAGCGATCAGAAGAGGCTCTATGAATCATTGGAGCGACCAATGGTAAGTGGAACGGGTCCAGCACCGAATCAGGCCGACACTGTAGCATTCTGTCGTGGCCTGTGGTTAGAGCCCGTTAACCACAGCGAGGGCCCTTGGACGGAAGTTGTGGCGAGTCAGTGTAAGGGTATTACGCCCATGGACCCCGTCATCATAACGCCGGATGACGTAGCTGAGGCGGTCCGTAGGGCCCCGAACTGGAAAAGTCCGGGGCTTGACGGGCTGCATCACTACTGGCTGAAGGGGTTCATGGTGTGTCACTCTGTGCTCGCCCGACAGTTTCAAGAGGCTCTCAACCAGAAGTCGCTCCCAAGCCTCTTCACTACTGGGATCACTCATTTGGTTCCTAAAGACCAGGGTACCACAGACCCGAGCAAATACCGCCCCATTACGTGTCTACCGACCATATACAAGACACTAACATCCATTTTGAGCGCGAGAATCACTTGTCACCTGGACTTAAATCAGGTGATGTCGCGCGCTCAAAATGGATGTCGGGGCGGTGGTCGTGGAACCAAGGAACCACTTGACGCGGTCATTGGCAAAGTGGTGAAACGCAACCGTCGGAACTTCTCCGCCGCCTGGATAGACTACAGAAAGGTATTCGACTCGGTGCCCCATACATGGCTAAAGAGAGTCCTCGAGCTGTACAAGATAGACTGTACAGTTAGAGACTTCCTCGAGCAGTGTATGGGGCAGTGGAGTACGATCCTTTGTCATCTGGGCGAGCGGATGATGGCTGCGGAGAACCACATAAGGATAAGAAGGGGTATCTTCCAGGGCTATTGTCTGAGTCCAATCTGGTTCTGCCTCTCTCTGAACCCTCTCAGTACCTTACTGGAGGGCTCCGGGAGGGGGATTTCAGCTACGGAAAGGAGGGACAAAAGTGACCCACCTTTTCTATATGGATGACCTCAAGTTATTCGCCTCCAGTCGCTCCCATCTTATGGAATTGCTAAACATCACGTGTGAATTTAGCAATTCCATTGGAATGGAGCTAGGGACGGATAAGTGTGCGGTCCTCCATGTTGAAAGGGGAAGGGTTGCTAACTCTGAGGGCGTAGACTTATCTATGCCCGTCAACTTAAGGACCCTTTCCGAGGCTGAAACATACCGATACCTGGCTATGTCACAAAACATCGGTATCGATGAGACTGGTATGAAACAGTCAGTTTGCGACGTGTTTTATGCACGCTTGACCAAAGTGCTTAACAGCCTTTTGTCCGGTGTGAATAAGGCACACGCATATAACGGCTGGGTCATGCCTGTCCTCATGTATACCTTTGGCATACTCAGGTGGACTCAGACTGAACTTAACGCCCTGGATAGAAAAGTCCGCACTACCATGACGTCCCATAGGATGCATCATCCGACATCGTCGGTAATGAGGCTATACTTGCCGCGGAAGCATGGTGGTCGTGGCTTCTTGAGCGCGCTCACCATGCATAATCGCGAAGTGTGCAGCCTCCGTGATTACTTCCTGGCGAGATCGGATGATCCATTCTATAAGGACGTCATTTCTTGTGATAAAGGACTTACCCCTCTATCCTTAGCCAACGAGCAATGGCAAGACCCGGCAGTGCAGAGAATTTCCGACCGGGAGACCGTATGGAAGGAGAAGGAGCTCCACGGGACGTTCTACAAGGCTCTACATGAGCCTTTCGTAGACACAGTAGCCTCCTTCCACTGGCTACGCTTTGGTGATCTCTTCGGGGAAACCGAGGGTTTTGTCTGTGCAATACAGGATCAGGTTATTAAGACCAACAACTATCGGAGATACATCCTAAAGGATGGCACCGTCGACATCTGTCGAGCTTGTCGCCATCCTGGTGAGTCACTTAGGCATGTTATCTCCGGTTGTTCCTAGTAGTAGTACCTAGTAGCCAGAATTCTACACCAGGAGCTCGCTCTGAAATACGGTCTCGTGGATCGGAAATTGCCGTATTACAAATACTTGCCGGAAGCCGTGCTCGAAAATGATCGCGCCAGGCTCTATTGGGACCGGGCCATCATCACAGACAGGACTATTCTTGCGAATAAGCCTGATATTGTGCTGATGGACCGGGCACAGTCAAGGATATTTTTGGTCGACATTACCATTCCGTATGACGAGAACCTCGTGAAAGCCGAAACAGACAAGCAAACAAAATATCTGGACCTGGCTCACGAGGTGACCGACATGTGGGGTGGTCTGCCGACCGAAATTATTCCTGTAGTCGTCTCTGCAAACGGGCTAATCCCAGTCAGCCTCTCGGGTCATCTGAGGCGGCTGGGACTACGTGGCGGACCGCTCCAGGTTCAAATGCAGAAGGCGGTGCTCCTCGATACCGCCCGCATCGTCCGCCGGTTTCTTTCCCTTTCCCCCCTTACCCTCGGCCGTTTGGTCTCCCCTGCCTCCATCTGGTTGGGCTTTTATTTATTTATGTACTTTTATATTTATTTTATGTTATTGATATTTATGTATATTTATCTTTTCATTTTCATTTATAATTATATGTTTATAGAACCCAACCAGATGAGAAAACTGTACAGATACTCCAAATAATAATAATAATAATTTATTTCAGACCCACATATAGTCCATAATATGTTAGTAAATTAGCTTAACCTATGTTAGTCTTAAATCATTACACGTACAATTTTCATAACAATTAGTTTTTTATTTTTGGCACCCCATGACACCAGTCACATGCAAGTGCATACGCATCCGGTGCCCTAGGATGGGACAATCAAATCTATCAGATATTGCCTTCAGAATGCTATTAGAGCTCCCACGAACCCTGCGCATGAGGGATGCTATTCTCTTTCGAATTATGGTATGAAAACCGTCCGTACCTTACGCTGTAAACATCCCTGAAGCGCTACAATACCGCGGAAACCCCATCAGCATCCTGAAGGCATTATTATATTGTACCCGAAGGACATTGTAGGCTCTCTGCGTGTACTTAACCCATAGACTGCACGTGTAAAATGACTGGCAAAAGGCTTTGAAAAGTGTTACCTTAACTTCTTCTGTACAGCGTGCAAAGCTACGGGACAGCATGTTACAGCGAACCCAGAATGGGATGAAACCAGACGAGTCTAAAGTTAAAGCTATTATGGGTATGCCGTATCCTACAGATCGTAAAACATTGGAGAGATTTATGGGTATGGTGAATTATCTTTCCAAATTTATTCAAAACTATTCGGATAGTACCGATACGACTACAACACATGATGATGAGGATACAGGGATACGATTTCAAGGTGTTGTATACTCCGGGCAAGTATATGTATATTGCCGATACGTTATAGAGGGCTCCGCTGTCGGAGTTTATGCACGATCGAGTGTCTGAGGATGTTGAACGCAAACATGTTTTATAATTGAATGTATGCCGTTTAGTAGAGAAAAAATAGATAGAGTTCGAAAGGCGACAGAGGTTGATGAGGAATGTCAGTTATTAATTAAGTACATATTAAACGGCTGGCCAAAAATGAGCATGATGTTCATAAAAAAGTTAGAAAGTTTTGGTCATATCGTGGAGAACTCCAATACGTGAATGGGTTAATATTAAAAAAATATTGTATATTTATTCCGCAAAGTTTACGAGCCGAAATGATTGTAAAAGTACACGAAGGTCACTTAGGCATTGAGAGGTGTAAGAGGCGCGCGCGTGATGTAATGTTCTGGCCAGGGCTGTCAGCGGACGTGGAGCGCGCCGTGCGCCGCTGCGAGTCGTGTGCTCTGCATGCACCGGCTCCCGCGCGGGAACCACTACTTCAACATATCGTACCCAATGCACCTTGGCAAAAACTTGCCTCAGATATTTTCGAGTATAAAAAGAAATATTATGTCATATTAGTAGACTATTTTTCTAATTATGTTGAAGTTCAAGAAGTAAATAGTATAAACAGTAGAACAATTATTCAATTTATGAAGGAACAATTTTCGCGGCATAGCATCCCTAGCGAGCTTGTTACTGATAATGAGCCGGCGTATAGTTTGCAATAATTTAAAAAATTTCTTAGGGTATGGGAGGTTAAGCATATGACTTCATCACCTCATTACCCTCAGTCAAATGGGAAAAGTGAGCGCACAGTGCAAACTATAAAAAATCTACTCAAAAATGCGTCGATTCTGGGGATGATTTCTTTATATTATTATTGAACTATAGGAGTACGCCTAGGTATGGAATGGGTTCTCCGGCACAAATTCTGATGGGAAGACGTTTGTGTACGAAGCTACCGATTAGTGATTTTCTATTAAATCAAACGATTGATAGAAATAGAAATTACAAAACGTTAATGCAACAGAGAAAATATAATAAATTACAGTATAATAGGTCGACCAAGCCATTGCGGACTTTATTACCAGGAAATGAAGCAATTTTAATTGATAACGAAAATAGGAAACCCGTTTCTATTATTAGACCGGCGGAGGAACCACATTCGTTCATAGTACAGGATACGCGCGGACAGCGATTGAGGCGCAATCGCCGTCACTTGATAGGACAATATGCAGACAACGATGAAACGCGTCCCGCCGCCTGCGCTGCGAGTGCAAGTAACGCTAAGTCAGCGGTGTTAACGGCCAAGGCTGTAGCTTCAAACCCAGAACAGTTTGGCCCTTTGTATTCGACAGATAGTAAAACAGATACGGAAGGTCATAGCCCATGCATTAATCGACCAATAACTAGGTCAAAAGCATGACTCATGGCTAAGATGATATTTCATTATCATTATATTTTTTCTTTCATCGGATATTTCCGATGAAAGAAAAAATATAATAGTTGTTTTGTATAGAAGTTATTTACAAACTAATATATGTACATATTGATATTAAGTGTATATTTTTAAGTCTCTGTATTCTGCAGATATTGACTTAATTTCGTTTATTTTTAGGTTTACTATTATTTTGTAATTTCAATTTAACACTGTTCGATAATTGTGAAGCAAAATAAATCATAAAACATAGAAGTGATTTATATTATAACATAATATATAGAAATATGTTCATGTTACGCCTAGGTGGCTTCGTTATTATAATATAAAAAATTTATATTAATTTTGTATGAGTTTGTATTTGGTACACGGTCCATTTCTACAGTTAGCGTTATCTTTCATTTCTTTTCATGATATAGTTTTTTTTGTTATAAATCATTTTTGTACCTACTTCAGTTCATTATAAAAGGGGAAGGATGTAGTATATTGTGGGTATATTGATATTTTCTGTGGATACTGTACCTTCATAAATAATAAGAAATCAGTGTTGAACCAACTAGCGTTTATTTTATTACAATTTACAGTGAGTTTTAATGAATAACAAAAATAATTACTCACATGGTGATGCTATGATGATACAACTGAGGCGAGAGAACTAAATTCGGGAATGCTGTGTTTACTTGCATGTGCGTCTACCACAGCTATAGCAAACATTATTATGACCAAGTTGTTTTCTCTTGAATTTGTTGTAAGGCATTTTATTATATTATCTTGTTATAGCAGGCACCACAGACGCAGCCCACCCCACTGACGATACATCCATTAATCCAAATGGAGTGGCAATCGCCCAAAATCGTTCCATCAATGGAAATAAACTATTTCATTTGGATGGAATTCATTGGCATTGACGGATGGCCGCGGATGACGTCCATTTGGACTGGATATATGGATTTCAATACGTTTGGAAATCCATAAGTCCAGTCCAAATGGACGTCATCCGCGGCCATCCGTCAATGCCAAAAACGTGCGCCACGCCAAATGGAAGCGGTCCGAATTGTCAGTGAATGGGCGAACCGGCATCCACTTTTTGGAGGTTATTGTGTCAGTTTATGGTTTGCTGTTGAAGGTGGTACATGTGCTCTGTTTGTTAATAATAAACAGTGTACTGGATTAAATATTTTTTATAATGTAAATTATGAGCTGCGATATTGGGTGACAAACAAGTACACAGTGCACATGAAGTTAAGTTGATCCTGTAGCCCCTAGACTGAATCTATCATCAAATAAGAATCAAAATGTAAATGCGTTGTCACCCCTGTAGAACTATGTGGAGTGCCTCATTCCCAGTAAAAAGATTATCTAGTTCTTTACACTCAGTATACGAAACACAGCAGTAATAAGCTGCTATTTAATGCTAATGTGTGAGAGCATGGTCCTTCCTCATTCGAGCCGACCCATTTGTGCTACAGCCGTAATATAGATGCAATAGTGCTCTACCACGTATAGTTACAATGAACAATATCCGCTATATGTTGGTTTCTTCAATTTCTACCTCAGTCAACTATATTGCTCCACCATAATGTATACCATAAAGAGAATGGGAGTGCCGAACTAGCACACAGCCCACCTGGTGGTGGGTGCTGTGGTCCATAGACATCTACATGTATCCTCAATTAAGAATCAAAATATAATATATACATTGTCATCTTTGAAGACTATGATGGATTGCCCCGTTTAGGTTTTTTGTCTTTATAATGAAATACATGCTGTTGCTGCCACAAGTAAAATATTACTATCCATAATATTATTTATTTCCATTCCGTACGACTGCCAAGTTTGAAGTGATGCCATACGTCCAAACGGAATTATCGTCAATGGTACCGTATCTGGATAAATTTTTACTTGGAATGCTGGATGCATTCAAAGTAACAATTTGGAAGTCTACTGAATAGACCTATCGTCAGTGGGTACATTAAGCCGTCGAATTAAGATTATAGGGTCAATAAATAATATTCCAATCTGATTCTTCTCGTAAATGTTGTACCTAGGCAAGTGCCTAGTAGTCTCTAAATATTTTACTTAGCTATACTAGCTTACCTTAATGGGTAACCACTCCGATAAAATAACAGTCATATCAGGATATTAAATGATGATATTAAATGCCGCTTGATGCGTTCTCAAACAGCGCAGAGTTACCACAGTTAACACACACTTGTAAATGGTCCATTTTCCATATTAAACTTATATATTTCACCGTTTATAATTAGTGGAGCACTGGCAAGGGTTTACGACACTTGTTAAATAATTGTAATAAACGATAAAATACAAATACGAAGGAAAGTCGAACAGATATCGGATACCGAGAAACGGTCAAGTTTAACATAATGACATTGACACTTTGACTGTTTTGATACTTGACGGACGGTTTCATTGTTGCAAGTACTAAAGTAAAATAATCCTACCCTATAACGTAACGCTACATGTTTTAGCTGTTGCAGTATTAAACAAATAAATAAAATCCTCTCGATCAGTGTATTTTGATTATTTTAATGTAGTAATTCATTAATCGAAGGCTTGTTTTTAAACATAATATATCATAAACAAAGTACCTATTTTATGAGTTTAGCTATTGTTTTTTTCAGAAACAATAGCAATAGCAAATAGAAGTGGAAATGAGCCGACCATTTAGCTCGAATCAAAAAACTGATGACCGATAGAAAATAAAGTAAAGTTTTTCGAGTGCTAGCCTCGTGCCGGTATACAAAGTCTAGGGCGGCCCCCCACTAGATGGAGTGACAACCTGGTAAGTGGCTCAGGACCGTGCTTTGTTGCATTCCTTGTGAGAGGCCTCTGTTGAACTGTGGACTTGTGAAGGGATGTAATGTGATGATGATGAGTAATTTGTAGCTCTCCATAGCCATCATATCCATAGAGGTACGTGTCAGACACTGAATATAAACTCTAACAACACACGCAGAGACAGATAAACTACTAATTTAAATACATTCATTAAAGTACCCAGTGGCCGTGGTCATCCTTGACTTCACAGATCGTTGGAGTTCAGTTTGAAATTACTTTGAGCTTCCAACTCTAGCTGATTGCTTAAAAGTATGCCCTAATATTATCATAACTTTGTATGGATCGATATTTTCAATGAATGTGGACATTACATAATATGTATAATATCAATGACTGCCTCCTTGATCTAGTGGTTACATAAGTGTGACTGCTGATCATGAGGTCCTTGGTTCGAATCCTGGGTCAGGCCAAAATATAAATTATTGAGTTTTTTCCGACAAGAAATTCTCAGTAGTTGCCCGGAGTCAGGAAGTTGGTGGTGAGACACCCCCGTGCCTCGGGATGCACGTAAAGCCGTTGGTCCTGCGCCTGATCTCTCTCCGGACGTGTCGGTTTACCGTCCCATCGGATTATGGAGAGAAGAAGTAGAGAGTGCACCTGTGCTTGCGCGTACACTTGGGCACTTTAATCCTATCCTGCGCCGATGGATATTCTCCATCGAGGCAGGCCGCCTTGATCGAAATTCGGTCTGGAGGACATTATTACAATATCAGTGCCGATTCGTATGTGTGTTACAGATATTATACACAGACGGCTTGAATCATAAAAGTCGACGTCAATAAGAAGTGCCTAAAGTGATCCTTCTCTTATAACTAAATGTCAGTAGAAAGAGACAAGTATAACTATAATCAAAACCTTATTTAGGTAAACTAGGTATAATCAAAAATCATAAGCGAGGCCGATAATGTATATATTTAGTGTTAGTGTATTTTAGGCAAATGAAATACAAATCACTTAAAAAATTAACATATTATATTACAATAATTATTATTTAATGTTCTAATGTAATATTTGTACAGAAAAAGCAACTACGCTGCTGCTACTATAGATTTTTGTTTAGTATGACATATTAAATTTCCAGCTTGTAAATGTGATTGTATATGTATTAAAATAAAAGAAATTAAGACCAACTTTAAACAAAGTAGGCTACTTGCTTGAGTTGTCATCTTTGAGGACTAAGAAGGAATGTCTCACAGCGTGTTATTTTACTGGCTCTCTGTACCCTTCAGACCGAAACATAGCAATGCACACACTACTGCCTCGCGGCAAAAATCGGTGCTTGTTATGTATGCTATGTAAAGTATATATCATTTGTTATTTTCTAATAATATAAGAGCATAACATATTCTCCAAGTGAAAGATTTTGATTTCTAATTTTGAATCTTAATCTAGCATAAATGTAGATATCAATGGGCCACAGTATCCACTTACCATAAGGCAGAGTGTGTGTTGGTTTTTTACTCTTAATCTATAAAAATGCACGCTTCAGTGATTGGCGAACGAGCTCACTAAGTGGTTAGCTATATCATAATCTATGACTCCTGATGATGTCTCGTTTAAAGACTGAATTCATCTCATCATCGATGATTGTGTCTTTGATGGTGTTGTGTTTAGAGAAGCCGTGATTGTGAATAAAAGAAAGAGGAACTTTGATGCAAATGTTTTGACTTGCTTTTATTTGTATTTCAGTGAAAATATTTGTATCCGACACAAAACTGTCACGATTGTGTCAAACTTTGGACGAGAACTCAGAAACAACCGTCCGGTTGTACCTGAAATCTCGAAAAGCTTTCTTTTTCTAAATTGGCTGAAAGACTGCCAATTTCGAAAAAGAAAGCTTTTGCGAGATTTTGCGAGATGGAAAGAATATACTTATATTACAAAATTACAAAAAGTAACTCACTGAAAATCATTCAAATTTAACCACTCTGTCCCAAAATACCTCTGGGATCAACCCGCAAGAAACACAGCGAGATTTTTTAAACATTAATTTACCATATAATATGTTATATAATTAAATCGCTACTGCTCGTCACCGGTCTGGGTATTTTATGTCTGGTATTAACGAAATGGTTATAGCACTGTCTTTTGGAAGTCATAGGAAGTTTAGGATTTCCTATACTAATGAGTAAAGTGATAGGCAGCAGCATCTACCTGTACACTAAATGAAAAAAAATGCCGGTCATTCAATAATGCAAATATACGTTCTATGATATGTTCTGTTGGTAGGCGTACACAGCCTATTTAAAGTATATTTCTGAAAATGGCCTACTGAAAGTACTAGTGACCTATTTTAGAATAGAAATATGATGACAAATGGGTACACAGTTCACCTAATGGGAAGTGGATGCCGTAGCTCATAGACATCTACGTCTATTCTCGATCAAAAATCAAAATACAGGTGCGTTATCACCCCTGAGAACTAAGATGGAATGACTCGTTTCCTACTAGAAACGATGGTGAGTGTAAATAGGAAAGAAGAAGACGTTCTCTATACTCACCATACGAAACACAGCAGCATTAAGCAGTTATTTTATATAGAATACCAACTATTCTTAGAGAGCTTGGCCCTAGCTACTTCAGTCGAACCGACCCATTCGTTCCACAACCATAAATATAGTTTCAGCTTGGCTCAACCACGTAAAAAAGAGTGCTGAAAATTGAATTTTATTAGGCTATAATTGAATGTATGAAAATCAGAAACGCAATTTCAGTTATAAATGCTACAAAGTTGAATCATCGAATAGAACCATTGAATACAACATCACGTATTCAATTTGTTTTATGTTTATATTATTCGTCCCTAGGTACTGTATAAATAAAGCTTTGAACGTTGACGTTCGTTACTAATTGCTCGTTTATTTCGTTTCCTTAAATATTTCTCATCACTCGGAACATTTCATATTATTAGCGGTGCGTGCAAACATAAAAAAACACCTTTTGCCGGATATTTGTTATTATAAATGTAACAAAATGACTGTTTTATAAAACTACAACGTGGCTTAGCATTAAAAATTTTATTTTTAAAGATAATAATCATAAACAACCACTTAATTTTACCAATTTTTTGTCTTAAGAAAAATAACTTTCAAGTATTTTGGGTTAAATATATAACCCGGAACACTCCTGATATGTATATATATATATATATATATATTACAATTTAGTATTATTCTAGTTTGATATATTATTCCTTACGGACACGGAAAATAATTAACTTAAAGCTGAGGTATCTGCTGCACTTTTTGTATATTTACTTACAAAAGAAATTTTAACTCTTGCTTTTAATAAAATTTCTGACAGAGGATACTGCACTAAAATCAAAAATATAAAATAATGCTTTGCTTTTATCAGGCAACTTCTATGTCGGCAAATAAATAGAAACTATTTTAAGAGTATCAAATGAAAAACCAAAGCTGTGGTTTTTAATTAGTCACATGTTTTAATTAGAGTCTTTTATTATAGAGAAAGCCCGTGGAAATATACTCAGACAACTTTACATTAGTTAGAGAGAATATATGCTTACTAAAACGTAAATGAATTTGACAGTAAATGTCAATTTCTCGAAGTCTATGTTGAACGAAGACAGAGAAACCTATAGACTAATGATAAGCGTGGCCTCGAATGAGAGAGGACGATAACGTAGTTTTAGGTTATACAATAATCTTTATGACTTTTAAAGATATTTATATAACTTTTTTTGTTGTTCTAAGAACAGAACTGAACAAGATTCACCAATCTGTAGCTCACAAAACACTTTTTTCCCAACTTGTAAACTCCATAGATCGCTACGAACTGTCAAAGTTGTTTAGCAAAGTGTAGTTTGCTAAACAAAAAAAACCAGCACGGTGAAAGGGACAAACAATCACACTGCTCTGTCTCATTTCTATGCAAGAAATATGCATACATCTTTCTTTTTCGTGTGCGAATGCGAAAGAAGGCGTCAATTTTGCTTTAGGTTTCTCTGTCTACGATGGTGAATCTCGCAACAGACGTCTAGAAAGACTGTGTTGAAACTATTACGAACGAACGTTTGGTAATAAGACCGTTTAATATTAAATAAATCCGAGTCAAGCCCGAAATCAGAAAAATATTTAATAACGGTAAAATTATATATTTTAAATTTCGTTAATAGCAATGCCATTGGGTGAAAGGAAATTATTAATTTCCTTTCACCCCAATGGCATTGCTATTAACGAAACGTATCTAGAAAATATCGTACAGTTAACATGAAAGTAAATTCACTAAGGGTCAGAAGCGCTCGTTTGTATGAAGTAGGGTTATAGAACGAATTCCACCCAAAGAAGTTATACGTATCATAAACTTAGGATCCGGAACGTACGTTCAGTTTACATGGAAGTGGAATAAAAATTATAATATACTGGCGACGCATCCCGGCATCGCCTGGATACGATCAAATATAAGAAAAGAAATACATGTGAATAAAATTGAAGTGTCTGTCTGTAATATCAAAATATGTAACTGCCAATTATTAAGTGGAAGGCGTTATACGCCATTAAGGCATCAATTTAAAAATTTTGCCTGTCTCTCAGAATGGCAGAAACGATTGTAACGAAACTTCACGAATAGATAGAGTACTCAGACTGAAGTGATTTAGGCTGTACTCGTATATTTTATCCGTAAAAACTTTGGGATTGTTTTTGAAAAATTTTCGTATTTTTCAAAAACAATCCCTAAATATTGATATAATATAAATGTTCTTTGATTATTTAATACCCAATCTGAGTTATTTTAGATTGTTGATTCTATCCATCAAACCTGGGGCAATTTGCGAGTTTTATTTTGTTTTATTACATATAACATTTATTATAATTATAAAATATGCGTAAGCTTAATAAAAACCTGCAATATTTTGAAAGTTCAATAATAGTCCTAGTTTGCAGTCTTCAGCTCCTGTAAGCCAATCTCGCTTTACAAAGTTCAATTTTTTGTATAGAATAAGGTTGACAAATCAACATACCGCCTATCCCATGGTAAGTAGATGATGTGGCCTATAAAGATCTACATTTTTTCTCAATTAATAATCAAAATACGTGGTAGGGCCATGCTGCAGTTATATTAGTAGTACAATTGTAGCACGAATGGGTCGGCTCGACCGGGGAAGGACACGCTCGTAAAATGGTAACTTTATGCTACTGTGTTTAGTATGGTGAGTGTATAGAACCGGATACCCATTTCACTGGAAAGGAGGCATTCCATGTTAGTCCTATGCAGTAAAAAGGGTCTCCTGGTTTCTACACTCACCAAATAAAACACAGAAGTATTGAGCTGCTAATTTACTCTGATATTCTGTGAAAGCGTGGTACTTCTCCGGTCGAGCTGACCAATTTCTGCCATAACCATAATATAGCTGCAACATGTCTCTACCAGGACTAGTCATTGCTTCAGTGGAATAATACCGAATGTTTTTAAGTTAGTTTTTAAGGCTAAAACGATAGGGCAGAAATTAGTCTGCCCTATAGTTTTCGCCGTGGCTCTGAGCTAAACTGTTGTTATATGCTTCACAATAATTTAAAATTACTCGCCTTCTTATCTACTTACAGCATAATACAAGGCAAAACCTAGAACTTTTTTAATCGCCAACTTACACTGTGCTATCTGCTGGTGCTGTGATGGCGCAGAAACTGCGCCAAACTTGTGAAGTTTTGCTTTGTCAATATTATGCATATATATATATATATATATATATATATATGTAAGAATTGCTCGTTGGTATAGGATAAAAATTCTGAGCAGATTTCCCATGTGTAATAATGTAGTCTAGCGCCACGTTTCGCTAATTCACAGTCACGCCACTGCTTTTTATATAGAATAATAATAACAAACTAGCACACAGTCTACCTGATGGTAATTGGATACTGTGGCCCATGAACATCTACATCTACCCTCAATTCAGAATCAAAATACAGATTCGTTTTCACCCCTTAGTCTCTTGTCACCCACTCTCATACCACACTGAGCGTTGGCCACTTCCTAGATTGAACATCTTTCCTGACTTGGATGTTCCCATGTCCTTCGATAACCAGA